GATCCCGGCTCCACACGGGCGCTCGGCAGCCAGGACAAGGCATCCCGGGGTCTGCAGCTTGGCTGGGGCCGGAGCACTCAGACCCCCTCGCTGTGGAGGGACGAGGTGACACAGGCTCAGGGATGGGGCTGGGGGCTGCCCTGAGCTCAGCCCTCTGCCAGGGGACCTGCCCGGCCAAGGGGACACTCCTCAGCCTGTGCTCTGCACGGTTCTCCCCCCTCTCCCACAGAGCTCTCCGTGAAAAACTCATGTTTAACATCTACCCAAGCTTCTTCCCGAGCCGCAACATCTCTATTTGGGTTTACCTTTCCCTTTCCCAGACCCCCCTCTCCCTGCAAAGTTTGGATCATGCTGGGTGAGACCCCAGCAGATATCACCAAAATGGGCCACGGACCATGGCACCATCAGCAGGAGCTGCAGCAAGCATTTGGGAATGAAAATCTGAAACTTTCTCAGCACTGGGCAGCCTGGAAGGGAATAAAATGACATCATTCCTCATAGAACAAACCCATTTTGTTAGGCACAAAAGATCACTGTGGAGAAGTTCAGAGGGTAGAATCCAGTGAAGAAAGAAATCTAATACTCATCTGTGAACCAAGATTGGCTTTACAATTTTTCCAAAACCCTGCAAGGGTATACAATATAACTAATAGCTCTGGACAGTCTGCTCTTGCAAGTACTTTGTCCCAGCCCTGAAACACGGGGGTTTTCCCAGCAGCTGTTTTAAACTCAGTCCGTTTTTTTTTATAACTGCTGGCAGACTGACACCCCTTTTAGAACAGCCCATTGGGGCAATATGCCATGGTCCCATACCGTGTGTGAGCCAAGTTGGACAGGACACGCAACCACAGCCCCTGGAGTGTTCAAGGGGGCAGCTCCAGGAGGGTAGCTGGGACCAGGCTGGAAACCAGGATAGCAATAGGAGACAAGAGAGTTAGCAGGTGTGAAGCTGGCAGCCAGAGCTCAGAGAGATGGAACCAGAGCTCCTGAAAAGGAGAGGCAAACCTATGCAGGATTATTTATTTTGGCTGCTAATTTGCTGTCGGTGGAGCCATATGATGAGGTGGTGGGAGGCTTCCAGGGCTGAGGGCAGAAACCCATTTTCAGGTGCCATATGGCCTTAGGTCAGATTAAGCCAGTTAAAATCTTATCCTAAAGCCCTTTACCACAGCAGGAAGCCCAGCTGCTGCGGAGTGGGAAGAAATCATATCCTTGAGTCCTGGTTCTGCAGCACTGCCTCTCAAATTCTCCATCTCTCACAAGCTCTCCTCCTAAAGCACAGGATACATCCCGCCTATCCTGTTCATCACATCTTTCACAATCTTCCCATAAACCTGCTGGTTAATTGGCAGACAGACACATCTAAGTGTTCTGTGCATCCTACTTTACAGCAGAGTTGAGATCCCAGCGTTTTGTTGTCCTGCACATCTCACAGTCTGGTAAGGGGCCACTCACAGCCCACACAATTGATACTTCACGTAGGCATATTTCCCTGTAATGCCCGTAATAACGAACATAAAAGAGCCACAGCCCTTTCCATGTCCCAGTGCCACTAGATGGCACCAGGAGTGTACCCTTCCCAGCCCGGGTGTTCCCAGGGCCCCTGGGGGAGCTGGGAGAATCCAGCCCAGCCCTTCCTTGCTACAGAGCCAGAGACTCCAGCACACGCCAGCGCCTCCTCCTCCTCTTTTCTTCATGGACCGTGGGGTACTGCGGTAAAAGCAGGCATTTCAGCTTTAAAATCCAACCTTCAGTGAGGTACTGGGGGGAATAGCCTGTGGTGGCTTTTGCCATGTTGTCTGTCACATGCACACACCTCCCTTTCCCCACCTGTGGACCAAGCATCACTCCCAGCCGGGTGCTGGAGAGAAAAGCCTCAAAGGTGGGTGCAAGTTATTCTGATTAATATAGGGATTAACGTGTGAGTTTCCCATTGTTGACAGGCTCCTCTTGGGAGGGACAGGAATAAAACACAGTTTACTATATAATTTTGCAATCAGAAGGTTTGCCTTCTCTGAGGTCTCACAGTTTTAGGGATTGATTCTCCTCATGCACATTTGATATCCAACAGAGCTCAGCATGTCCCAGAGTATTATTACTTGTGTTTTTCACTATCAAGCCCTCCATTTCCTGTCACATCCTTGGCAAAGCCACTAAATAAACCAGGGAAGCACAGGCAGCACCTCAGCAAATGTCAGGTCTTTCCTCAGACCTTGCAGCATAATTAAGGAACATCTGCTTTCCGCTGCCCTCAGCATCAAGCCCTGAAGGTGACCCTCAGAGACAGCAGTTCAAATGAGGGCGCTGGCTGGCGAGGCCCCGTAGCAGCACTTCAAAGCAGCCAGCCAAACCCTGGCCCCAAGCAGTGTGGGGGACTGAGGTGACAAATCATTGCTCATCACACAACCTTTCTGCCCAGAGCAGAGCTGGAGAGGTGATGGAGCGCAGCTTTCAGAAGAGCCAGAGCAGCTTGTCACTCCTTCCTGCCCACATCCCAAGTCTGGCATGTCTGGGTGATGGGCATGCATGACAGTGGCACAACCCTTGTGCCAAGGGGATCCCAGTGAAACCTGGGATGCAAAGGGAGTGGGGGAGGGATTTTGTGCAGGGAAAAAGTGATCCTGTCCTGTTCACAGAGGTGGAGTCACTGGAAGAAAGGCCAAGTGGGAGATGCAAAGCGCAGCTCCATTGTGGCACTGGAAGGCTGGTGGCAATGGCAGGGCTGTCCCTGCCCACATCCTAAGGCCACAAGGTAATCCTGCAGGAGGATCCTGAGTGTGACCCTGCTTCCCAGCCCTCTGCAGAGAGTGGCACAAATCCCACACAAGCGCTTTAACCTCAGGTTAAGGGTGAAGGCTAGAAAGGAGGAGGCTGGATCACTTGGGAAGTTCAGGTCACACAACAGAGTGGGTTAAAATCCCTCATCCATTCCATTAAACAGGGAAAATCCCTCATCCTCCTTCCCTGTAGCCTCCTCTCCCCTCCCTGATCACCTCAGACAGTCCTAGGGAGTGACCCAGCATTCTCTTGCCACTGCCTCCCCTCCTGGGGAGCCGCCAGGAGCCTCCCCACACACCATCTGCTCTCCTCAGGTGACCTGTGTGTGCCCAAGGACATCCCTCCCACACCATCTTCCTCCACACCAGGCCACCTCTCCCCATCACCCCTAGCCAACATTCCTGGCCCTCTGGCTCTGGAAAACTTCCTTAAACTCATGGACAACTCAAGTCTTTATTTGGTCTCTCCATGAGTGAATGCTTCACACATGGTGCAAAAACTTGCTGCTACAAAACCTGTACGCAGCAATGGCAAGCCTGGTGTCCCTCAGGGCTCCCAGCTGCTGTTTCCAAGCAGAACACACCCTTGTCTGACTGCAGATGTCAAACAGCACAGACACACATAGACATCGACATGAGCATGGCCAGAGCTGTCCGCTGAAGGATTATTTTTTGCCCGACAGTGATGGAAGTGTCAGAAAGGGTTTTATTTATTTTCTCTGGAAGGCTTGTTGCTTGAAATCCCCGTTGGCAGAGGCTGACCCTGACCCTGCTGTCACAATAGGGTCTGCCATGCAGGTCTGACATCCCTTCCCACCCTTGAAAAAATGTACAATTCATCAGGAGGAGAGGGTGACTGGCCCAGAGTGCCTGGCAGGGCTGGCGACCTTCAGAAGGCAGGCACTCCTCCAGCCCTGCAGCCCAACCCGTGCCCACCCAGCCAGGTTGCAGCTCCTTCAGATTCCCCAGCCTTCCCACCTCCCAGGAAAGGCCTCACTGAAGCCACAATGGACAGCTATGAAATGTTAGGGACACCAGCACTGGCCTTTTGAGCACCCATGCAGTCAGAAAGGGCAGGCAGGCCACGGGATGCACTTACTGCCCTTCAGTGACATGGGGGATGAAATGCAACAGTGCCAAGGTCTCCTGGTGCCCTGAAAGCACACAGAGAACTCCCTGGAAATGGAGCAACCTGTTTCTTCCTTCTCCTCTGACACTCACCCCATGCTCAGCACCACACCAGGAACAAAGCTAATGACAATTACAAGCCTGCCCTGGCTCATTCCCAGCTCACAGGACCCCATCTGCATGCAGAGCTCTGGGATAGGGCACTTGTGTCCCTGGGGTGATGACACAGCACTGCAGAATGTGGCAGCACCCAGCTGGGTCTGCATTTCTCAGGGTATCAGGGCATGACTTGTCTGCTGCTATAATCATTGAAAGGTTATACACAAATTTTCCCTCTTCTTGTTAAGGAAGCAGACTTGAGGGGGAATGGCTTCTCAGAAAAGCACTGGCACATCTGAGGTAGAGTTTTTTGCTTGGTTATGGTGTCAGAGAGGAGCAGTAATGGCCTATATTCACACAATAGCAAAGGAGGGCCTTGAACCACATCCAGCTTGGGCGCTGTGACCAGTCCATAGATAACCAGGAAGAAAAGTCAGTGGTTTTCCTTTGGAATTGCCTATTTACATCTGAAAACTAGCAGAGTTCTTGCCCAGAGTCTGGGACAAACAGCTCCTTTTACTGCCTGCTTCTCATCAGGCTTCCCCTCCCTCCCCAAGAGGAAATTTCCAGTAAGTGAAGTATAAAAATTAATGCAGGACTATGCTCCAGAGCCAGCTGTAAAACTCATACAGGAAGAGCTCCCCATCCCACACCTCATCATGGCAGGCTGCCCCCAAAGCAGGTCACAGCCTTCATGAGAGAGGGAAGAGGCAGCTCTGTCTGCACCCTCCTGGTGCAGGGCAGGCTTTGGGGGGTAAACTGAGGTCCCCAGACCTGCAGACATTGCCAGCACAATCAGCCAGGCAATATTCCCTAGCAGAGGTCTTGTATCCCTTGGGAGGTTGCAATGCTTGGATACCATGTGGTGCAGCAGTCTCTGGTTTCATTACCGATTTCATGAAACAAGGTATGGAAACAGAGAGGAATTCAGTGAGGGGAAATCTTCCTCCTCCACACTTGCTATATCCTGGGAATAAACACCAGGACTCAGCTGAATGACAATCTCTAGGAAATTTTGAAGAAATGTCTTTCTACCATATCCCATTCATCTTCCTCCTGGACTTTACATATAAGATTAGGACTTCAGCCATACGGGTTTCCTGCAAAAGTGCAGGAATTTTGTCTTCCATGGCTGACAGGCTTCTCCATGCATCCAGCTGCATGTGGAGCTTTCAAGGAGCTGTGGTTGCAGACACTGGCACAGGGGAGCAAGGCCTCATGTTTCTCCCAGCAGGCCTGAGGGAAGGCAAGAAAAAAGCTGGGTAATTAAACAGCACTCGTCAGAACATGTGCAAGAGTCAAAAAGCAGAAATATCCCTCCTGTGCACACTCTTGCATGAAGCTGTGTCGACACTTACCTGCTGAAATCTTCCACTTCCTGGGATAAGCAATCCATGGACCCACAGCATGGGCAGCACCCCCACTGCTGCCTGCCCTCCCCAGCCAAACCTTCTCACTCCTCTCTGGAAGGGCATTTCATGCTAACATGAAACAACCAAACCCAGTGCTTCTCCAAAGTCCTCCACCTCCATATACAGGGGAGGTAAATGTGTTCCTGACTAGGAGAAAGCCATTGATTCCCAGAGAGCCTACAGGTCACACCCCAGAGCATGGCAGAAAAATCACAGGGCTGGGATGGAAGGAGGACGATGGCACATCTCATAACTGATTTCACCCTTACTGATATCCCTGAATTCAGATGAGGCCACCAAACCATGCTAGATATGTGTGCCCACCACACTGCAGACTCAGTGCAGTGAGTCTGCTGGGATTTGGGAGCTTCTCTATCCAGGGAATTCCACAAAATAGGAGATCAAGTGACTTACAATGTTTTAAAAACACGTTCCTCAATATCTTTACTAAAGCAAAGGTGACACTATGGGTAATTTCTTTAAAGCAGGGTATAAACATGCATGGCTGACAGCCAGTTCATTATATCAAAATCAGTTTTCATTAGGAGGGGAAGCTTTTGTTCTTATTGTTTCTCTTAATTGCTTTCTCTCCCTGCTACCAGGGCAGCCTGCTATCTGCCTGTGCCTGGAGGGCAGAGTCCTGCATACCTCATCCCTGATCTGCTAACATGGGTAACTATAAATAAATGGTGAAACCTGAGAGTGGAGGAGGAAAGGGACTGTGCTTTTCAACCTCAGTCTAGTTAGCTTATGCAACAGAAGGTAACTGCTGACAATCTGCAGTTATTAACTGAGCAGGACTATTTCTGATAGCTGAGGGCTCTAACCTGGCCAACATCAAACAAAATTCTCCACCTCTAAGCTGGAGCTGGATAACTTTGGTCTAACGAGAAGTTGTCAATTTAAAATGAAGAAAATAGCTGCATGTTCTCCACTAAGCAGTATTTTAAAACCATGCTTAACTTCGAAATCTGCTGCAACTTAGCCCCCCCAAAAAGCAAAAATGCCCATTTGTGACTATGAAGGAGTCCCTTGGGAGACTGAAAAATTATTGCAAGTTCTCCCAATGAGCCTTGGCAATTCTCACCGTTGGATTTAACTCCTCACAGTGACAGTCATCCCTCTGATTTAAACTCTTCCCTTCTGCCATCAGCTGCTGCCAACACAGTGAGCACACTTGCCTCACAACACAGCACAGCTACCTAAATGGGGCTAAGCCTGGTTTAATTAATGCAGCTGTCATGGAGGGGGCAGTGGTGAGACTTACATATCCCTCACCTTGGTACCAGATAAGCAGGAAGATCACTGAGAGGATCCTCCTTGGCTTGTCCTGCTAGCAGGCAACAGCACTTGCCTGGGAGACCGTGCCCATACAGAGGGTAAGTGCTGGGAGGGAGGGGATGCTGCAGAGGGACCTTGCTGCAGGGACACACAGACAGGAGTGGAAGATGGGGAGGAAGAACCCTGTCTTCTCCTTTGTCCCTGCTATAACCTGAGTCATTCATTTAAGCATTCAGCACCCTGCACTGCCTACAACACGATCCTCCAGGGTGTGGAAGTCTGCAGGCAGCGAGAGGGAAGTAGAGCCAGTGTATATAGAGCAATGAGGACCCTGGGGAGGTGAAGCAACAGCTCCACCTCCCCGTAAGCAGGGTGCCTACCTGTGCAGGTACACATTACACACAAGCACACTCACACACACCCACCTTTGCTAACAGCAGAGGCACCCACAGAGTCCATATTTTCTAGGTTTTACTTCTATATCTGCAAAAAGCAAGTTTGCTTCTGTTTCTGATTCCCTGCAATTATCACGAAATGCCTTCAAGAGAGCAGCTCTGTCTTCTCGGCTGAGCGAATCTTTGATGTCCAGCACTGCACTCAGATGTTCCTTCCTTTCCAAAAGGACAAGAGGACAGGTGAGTGAATGAGTCAAGAAAAAACAAACAAAAAACCCCAAAAAAACCAAAAACCCCAAACAAACAAAAACAACAACAACCAAACAAACAAAAACAACAAAAAAAAAATTTTGTGTCCCATCCCTCAGTTTTGCTGGACCAGACTAAAGATTGGAAGCAGCTTTTTGACACCTTCTGGCTACCTAAAGGGGAGGCCATATCCCAAGAGCTGTGTGGGATAGGGCTGAACTCATGGGTCCCAAGCCCAGGGCACACAGAATCCCTGTGAAGTATTGAAAATGCTCAGCTCAGGTTATTCCTAGAAAAATACCTGTATCTATAATAATAGGATTCAGATAACTCTACATTTGACCATTTGGAAGCATTTTTGATATATTTTCTCTCCTCAAATGGAGCCAATTCTTGTTTATCTGGAAGGTTACAGAATTTGGGTTCTACAGAGCACTGTTCCCCTGAGTGGGGAAATACCACATTGGACATAAGGCAAATGTATCCAAGCCAAGGTTTGAAACAGAGAAATCTGCTGTAATCAAGAACACTCCCACCAGGATGACCTCCTCTGAGAACTTTCTATGCCCATTTCCTATACTATATATACATACATATGTACATATATATATATATCATTGTTATGCTGTATCAGATAAGCAGCTTTTTAGCTCAATAGCACCTTCAAAAGTAGTAAAGTAAAAAAGAAGTAAGAAACCAGATGAAGCATAACTTAATCTCGTTGTCTTTCTTTTTATTTTTTTCTTTGCCCATAGCAGTCCTTTCTACAGAAGGCTAGAGATTTCCCTTGCTGCAGGTTTATATCATGACTGTCATGTTGAATAGGCAGTGAAATAATTATCTACCACAAATTGTCTGTCCCACATTTGAAGGTATTCACACTTTTGGCCTTCACAGCATCCTGTGACAGAGAGCTCTACATTGCAATCATGTTAAGTTGGAAAAACACAGGCACAGCATATCAGAACAAAAGATAGATGCAGTAAACTACAGGCCTTGGGAAAATGCAGTTAGCTAAGATCTCTCCTTTAAAAGCTGTGGTTTAATTCTGTTAAGTTTCCTGTAAGAAATATAAGTGTATATTCTTGCTGAATACACCTAGAAACTTGTGAAAATAGTTATACAAGGTTTGGTGAAGTGTGGAAGCCCAAAGCCAAGTGTTTGAAAGTTATGAAATGCCCAGGTTAAGGACGTTCTTGAAACCTACATTTGACACATTTGTGCCTGTAAATTCTGCATTAAGATAGTACTTTTCCACAGCATTTCTGCTTTGTTGACAGCAATTTCATCCATTCTCCACCTTTGCAGAAGGACATCTCAACTTCACCAGTTCATGCCTGACAGGCACCAGCGAGTACATTCAAAGGGTCTCTGTACCTGGCCCAACACACTGCAAAAGTATCACAGGACTAATATTGCTATAGGTCTTCTGGTGTCAAGTAATCATGTAAGAAAGTACAGAAGTCAAACCAATAAAGACATTACCTGAGGTCAGGAAATTCTTTTAGAATGGGCAGAAGTGCTATTTTCATCCCCTCAGGATCTGAAGTTTGAATAAGGTCTAAAATTGCTTTTATGGGATCCTTGAGAGAACCAGCTGCAGGACCCTGGGGAGAGAAGCAGTGTTGTGTTCAGGGCACGGGAAACAGCACAGCATGTTAAGAGCTGGACTCATGTCAGTCTGGGGATGTCTCTGTGTGAGTTAGAAGCTTTTCATGAGTGTCTGTGCATGTATAGAAGTATGATTTTCCCCCAGGGTAACAGAAAAGAACCTGGGGAATAATTACAGACTGCTTCCAGGGTAGCTGGGCAACCATCTTTAGCAGTGCAGAATGCCCTCCTGCACTTCGTTTGGCAAAGTTGGCAAATTATTCATTTTTCCCTAAACTGCCTGTGCTTTCAGGACCATTTCACCCTGTGGGAGGTGGTTTGCTTCTGGAGGTAAGCACAGCCCTGTGCTTGACCTATGTGAAAACAAACTTTGTTAGCCAAACATGCTGGCATTTCTGCTGCCCCAAAGCAAGCCCAGAGACAGAAAAGCAACCTTAGGGAGAGGATGAGGGGACACAATCCTTAATAGAAAAGAAGTGGGAAACATGGCTGGATAGTGTAAAAAACATGACATGGTTGGCAAATGTTGCATGTGATCGACTCCCTCTAATCTGGAGCACACAGGAGAAAAAAGTCTCATCAAAAAACACACAGCATTTTTAGCAGAGCTGGAGAAGCAGAATGCAGATGAACCACCAATAGAGAGCTTCAGGTCTTGCTCACATTTTTCATCAGTGTGGTAATGCAATTAAATTGCTTCCCTGAATTACTGATGCCACCACGTCAACAGAGACTCTGTGACAAAGCAAACCTGGAGAACAGGCTGCCAAACTGGGGCAGGAGAAGCCCAGGTCCCCCTGATCTCCAGGGGACATTAGAAACAGCAGGTCACACTCTCCATGCAGCACCTCTGCATGGAACATAAATTATTATTATTATTAATAATAACAATAATAATTGAAGACAGCCTTCCCCCTCTTCCTCTGCACTGCAGGCACACAGCATGTCTAGCTCTGCTCAGTGCACAAGCTGTACTCAGCTCCTGAGGCACTGGTGCTGTACAGCTTCATACTTGGCAAGCTCAGTATTACAAAATGCTAATTAATTTGAAGGCGTCAGATTTAGTTAAGCACTTCATAGGCAGGCAAGGTCAGAGGTAAACAGCCTGCAGTCTAAAGGGGGAAAAAAAGAGGTGTTCTCTCAGCAGTCTTTAAGTGCCTTTGACACGTACTGCTCTTAGGAGAGAAGCAAGGTATTTCCTAATGTGTTTTGAGAACAGAGGGGAAGGAAGAGCCCAAAGAGAGGGCAGAGCAAGGACCAAGGAGCAGGTGCAGCCTGTGCAGCAACTGCATTATAAATTCAGTCTGCAGCAGAGTTCATATTTCACATGCATAACCGTGAGCCTCCTGACTAAGGAGCAGGCTGTCCCCTGCAAATCACTTGTGCATTTCACCTCCAAGGCTATCAGTGCTCTCACATCAAGGAAGAAAGTACACACACTGGGGACACTGGGGAAACAGCCCTAACCAGATGCAGCCCTTTTTTACCCAAGCTTAATGTAGGGTTTTAATAGATAATTAGATTTCCTTTATCTCCTTTGCACTGTTCCATGCACATTACATCCAAAGCTGATGCAGAGCACAGAATTACTGGTAAACTTCAGAGCTAAGATTAGAGAACCTTTCTGCTATTCTCCATCTCTCCATTGCTGAAAGCATGAACTCATCTGTGATTGATCACACCAAGAGAGGTGGGTCTTCAGCAAAAATCACTGGCAGCTTCCAGCTTTCCACCATGAAATGCATTAATTATAATGGGTCTGAGAGGATTTTAAAGAGGCCTATAGATGATCATTTTAATTTCATTTTATTCATTGGACAAGGTAAGAATTGCTGACATGTCTTGCAAGGGACTCATCTGTGAGAAAATAGGTTTTCAGTCCCTAGCATTTAAATAGGCAAGTTGTGAGAATGACTCAGCATTTGTGAAATTATTAAAAGCAGTGTAGCCAAGGGGGTTTATATGCTGTCACATCTGAGTCCTGTTACCAGACTGACTTTCCAACCCCTGCTGTGCTGCTCACTCCAGCCCCTTATGCAGCACCATGCCTGGGCACTCTCAGCCTACATCTGCTAATGAGCCATGTCAGGGACATTGCACAGCAGTGATTCTCCAACTAGACCAGCTGAAGGAGGGGACACTGCTGCCAGTGCAGTCCTTGCCCTTAGGTAATTATGTGACAGCCTAGTGGCATCCGCAGATACTGTGTGCAGCACTGCCACTTACACCAGATTATGAGGTGAGGCTTTTTAAAGCCTCTGAAATTGATTCTGCAAATCAGAACCAGCACTTCTGCACAAGTTTTCTTCAGAGGCGTGGCTCTGCTTTTACACCTGATCTCCTGCAACGTGCCTTCAACTCCTAATGGTGTGAGGTGTTTTCCCCTGCAGGAAGACTCGTTCCTCCTCACAACCGTCAGCAACCACAACAGCATCAGCATGTTTTTGCTATGAGGAAACGCCACAGCACAGGGAAATGGCTCAGGCAGCCATCATCCCAGCTCTGAGGGGCTGGAAGTGCCTGTGGGGAGGGAGGGGGCTGGATGGAGAGGTAGCAATGCGCACCCCCTGTCCAGGGAGGAGCAGCCTTACAGGGCAATCCACAGAGCAGGTGGAGATGTGGAGCAGCCTGTTTGGTTCATCACTCCGGGGGCTCAAGGGAAGCACTGCCACTCCATGCCATGTACCAGAGGCCTGCTGGGGGGAGCTGGCAGTTTTGGAGCTGTCTCACCAGCTCAGAGGAGCACGCCTCATTCTTGTGTCAGTGGCAGCAGTGCGAAACTTGCCTCCTCCAGTCACACGTTTCAAAACCATGAACTAACAGCTTCTGACAGATCAGAAGGGCTGTCAGCACATCTGACTGTCATTTTGGTGAAGCTTGATACCCCTGTGGTAAAAACTCTTAAGCTTTTTTGTAGCTTTCAGAGTCTTTTCCTCTGCTGGTATTGTTCTTGATGATAGAGAGCAAAACTGTAACCATATCAAAGACTTACTAAGCACTCTTTAAAGATGGTTTGCATCATCCTATGATCTTCTTCTATTTTGTTGACAATCCTCCTCCTCTGCATAGCAGATGGTTTCCTGGGAGTGGTCAGGAGGGCCTGCATGTATTCTGTGACAATGATGGCATTGACAGCCTCGATGAAGGCCTGTTCCAGAGCAAAGATACCCAGATTAACTTCCCTGCACTGAGCACGGTTCAGACCACACCTATACCAGGGCAGACAGCAGATATTCTGCCCATGCAGATGGCTGTCCAATTTCTTTGCCTAAGTTTAATTTAAAATGCTTGATCTAACACTTGGACGGCTTCCAAGCTGCATGTGGATGACATAAACCTTGATGATAAGTGTGGAGACATCAAATCAAAAGCAATGGGACCAGTTAGCTGAGCCAAAGGTCACTCACACTCCAGAGCTGCAGTGACACTTGGCTTGGCTAACAAATACATCACTTGGGGAGAGTTTGAGCTACAGACAAAGCCAGGTGCAGCCTCTCTCGAGCATCGACAATTGACACAGGGCCCTTGGGCACAAAGTTGTGGCTGGGCACAGAGAAGTCACTGGGCAACTCTCTCTTAGCTCCCACTACCTGCTGAGAACCTCAGTGCAGAGGTCGTGCAGTGCCCGACAGGGACAGTGTTTCTGATGGGGGGTGGGCTGCTGCACAGAAACCACATTTTGTTAGCAATTGAAATCAGAGCAGGCTTAGGCTGCAGTCCAAAGGTACAGGAAATCCCTAGCTATGTCCAAAACAGACAAAGCAAGAGACAGAGAGCTCTGCCACAGTGTTTCACCACTGAGCTGCTGCTTGCCCCAGCACTAATGTGACATAATGTCCAGTGACAGGCTTTGAACAACAGCAGAAGAGATCCTACTTTTTTGTCTTCCATTACCTTTTTCCATATTGCAAAATGTTAATTAAAATCATCACTGACAAAGAGACTGCAGACCTAGGAGTCTCATGCTCAGGAGAACATGTGGCACGTGTAGAGCAGCAAATCCAGCCTGCACAAAAGACAGTTCCCTAGGTTCCAACCTCATTGCTGAAGAGATAAACTCAAGTGTGTTGTATCCTAGACAAGTTGTTTAGGCTACTGTAAAGGTGAAGAAACTTGGGTACTTTGTGAAGTTGTTTGTCAATGCTCTGCATGAGACACTATGCCCGTTAAGAATCTGGACTTTTCACCCCTCTGTGTTCCCTCTACATTAAAGGGATCAATAATCCTTAAAAGTAAGGTTGAAGCACATTAGAAGCCGAGAAGATTTCCAATATAATGGTATTGGAGTAATGGTAGGAGAGGAGCCAAACATTCCCCTCTGTATTTGGGAGGTACATTCAATTTCCATATTTCTTCACTTGTTGTTTTCTTTGCTGAAGTTACAGAAAGGTGCCAGCTGTCACTACCCAACCCTGGTGGATAGAGGTACTAGACTGAGACCACTAGATATTTAAAAGCCCATTTGACAACAGAGGAAACTGCCATTTGGATTAATGTTCTAATACTGTGCCATCCAAAGATTCAGTTACTAATTTTAGTGATTTCACAAAATATAATGGTTTGGGTTGGAAGAGACCTTAAAGATCATCTAGTTCAAACTCCTCTGCCATGGGCAGGGACACCTTCCACAAGAACAGATTGCTCCATCAGTACCCCATCCAACACAACCTTGAACACTTCCAGAGGTGGGGCATCCACAGCTTCTCTGGGCAGCTTCTTCCAGCATCTCACCACTCTCACAGCAAAGAACTTCCTCCTAAAATTGAATCTAAACCGACTCTCTTTTAGTTTGAATCCATTACCCCCTGTCCTGTCACTACATGCCCTTGGAAAAAATCCCTCTCCATCTTTCTTGTAAGATGATTTCCTGAATAATATCTTGTTTTCACTTTCTTACTTATTTCTTACCTCATATATAGCTGTTTTTTTCTTCCTGAAGGTCAAAAAGCTTTGCTTTAAGGTTTCAAGGATGCAGTCAAAATCACTGTCACACTTTTTGAAGTAAGCCTTCAGTGCTCCCTGAGGAAAAGAAACAGACAGGGTCAAAGAGTGCACATGTAGAGACACCAGACGAACAATAGACACAGATTATTGTCCTTTGCTCTTTTGCTCTTGGAAACAGACTTCTCCACAAACAGCAGTATCCTGTGCCTTTATTTCAAAGAAAATCGAAACATGAAAGAAAGAAACAATTCCAACTCAGAAAGGATGTACTAAGTTCTTGAGCCCAAACCTTGAAGACTGAAAACCTGAGCCCAAGGCCTCCTGTTCATCCCCTAGAGTTGCTTGTGCTCCATCAGAACCACCCCCAGTTCCCATGTAGATGTGTGAGCCCATGGGACAGGCTGGCAATGAGCTCTGGAGACCAAAACTGCACAGTGTAGCCAGAGTTTCTCCTGTCATTTTCCTTTTGCTGCCTCCAGCATGCCCGAGGGAGCCTGTGCAATGAGGCTGAAGATACTCAGGAAAGCTTCTTAGGGAAATGTACAGTATCACACACTGTTAGGAGCCTGGAATCCTGTATTTTCCAGACACAAGGGTGAAGGGTGTCTGTGCTAATGGGCTGATACTAAAAAGTATGAAGGGAGGGGACCTTATCTCAAGGGGAGGGACACATTTCTGGTCAGCCTTCTCTACATCCTGACTACCAGCACAGCCCTGGGCTCTGTGAGTTATAACTGCTCTGGGAAGATGCCCAGCTGCTGGGAATGAATAGGTACCAGGTGAAATTCAACTTCTGGGGTCTGGGCAGCACAACAGCAAACACTACAAACAGTGGAACTGGGGTCCCAAAACTGGAAAAGGTGAAGCTGTCTATATACAAATTCTGACAAGGCAGAGGAGAGCACTAGGCTTGGAGGCCAAACTATGGCTTCACCTTTTCCTAAACAGAACATGAGAGGGAAGTGCATGCCAACCATATGGTCTGCAAATAATCAGAATTAAAATAAGTCTTCTATACCTTGACTTTAGAAGTGATGGTCTGCAGAAAATGCTCCATAATGTCATCTTCCATCCTGTGTAGGAATCCATTTACCTTAACATTCTGGTCAGTACTTACACTGCAAATGTATGTTAGCTTATGCCAGACAGTTCTGTTAAAAAAAATAAATATGGAAAATATTGATCAGATCAAATCATGCTATTCAGATCAAAATTCTTTCTCCTGTAACCACACAGCTGCCTGGGTAATTGAATGGATACATGCTGAGGACCAAAGCTAGCTCAGTGACCCACATTTGTGTGCTCATTAAGACACTACCACAAGGGCACAAAAGCTCAGTGCAGTTGCTACTTGTACCCATCACTAGTGAGATCAGATCAGTAAAAAAAATATATTATTCTTAAAAATGCATAAGCATGAAGCAGCCTCAACAAACAGAGTCTGGGTGAGCCTCCTATGTGCCTTTGACAACCTAAAAATACAAGACGAACAATTATCTTCCATCAGAATAGTCTTCCAGTCAGCAAATCCTGGTTAAAATTATCACCAGCTTGAAACCAGACATTTTACATTCTGGAAAGACTCAGCGTACAACTTCATTCTCAGTAAAGCCGTAAAGGATTACATAAAAGACACTCATAAGTATTCAGTCTAGGATCCAGCATCAGCAACATGCAAATACAACAAACAAAGCAGCTACCTAGGCTCAACGCAAGGCTCTGATGTCAAGTAATCACTGTGCATATGTTGGATTTTGGCATTTTGCTGACTCCAGAGATCCCTGGATAACTTTACACAGGAAGAAGAGAAGCAACCTTGTTTTCTCCGTTGCTGCAAGTGCTTCTGAAATTAGCTGGTAGGTGCAAACATCCTCCCCCACCCTTCTGTGCTTTATTGCTTCCCTCCTTCCTAGCAACCCCAGGGAGAGCCTGGCATATTCCATGGGGTTTCATTCAGCAAAACGTTTAAGATTGCACCTCCCAAGTGCACTAGCACACACATCTCAGCATAACCTTTATGAGGCTTTCCTGCTGGAGGACGACCAGGCCAGGGAAAGGAACAACATCACAGTCCACAGCAGGGTTAGCCAGGATAGAGTCCTCACACATGACATAACACTGCTGCCTCTGCTCAGTGCAGGAAGGCAGAGATGGCTACAGCCCCTGCACCTGCAGGGCCTGGCAGAAGGCAAAAAGTGGCAGTACAGCCCTGGGGCCCTGGCCACAGTCACAGCCACATCTGAGCCTCCCTCTTGCTGGGGCAGCCAGGGCAGCTCTGAAGGAGCTGATAGCAACTGGCTTCCTCCATGCTCAGAGGCAGGTGTGCACAGGGTTGGATGACCATATCCAGCTGGAGGCAAGGTTGGCCCCATACCAGAGTCAGAAGGAAATCAGCAGAACATTCGTTTTCCTCCCCCAGAGGCTCTGTTTTCTAACCTGAGAAGGCAGCAATTCTCCAGGATTTGTAAGCTGCTGCAGATCTGTGGGCAACCATCAAGCTGGAGAAAGCTTCTTACTTCATCTTCATAGCTAAATTAAAACAGGAAGCACCTTTAATCTGGCGTGCTCCATAACACATCTAACAGCAATAGCAAACTGAAGAAATATTCATTGATTATTTGTCTTTTTATCTCAAGGTTTCAATGCCCCAGATGAGATCTACAGCATGACAATCTCTGTCCTGCCCAGCTGGTAAGGAAGAAAAACACAGGAACAGCAGGGAGAGCCCTTGCACTGCCTCTGCCAGGGACCAAGAGGCAGGAGGTTGATTTGCTACACTTCCTTCTGGGAAGCAACTCAGGCTTTGCCGATAAAGCTGAAGAACAGTGCCTCAGTGTAAAAGAATAACCCACAAGATCTCTGAACTGCTTTGTCAGTTTCAATTTCACAAAGGGCTTCTGGACGACTCCATTTTATAGAAATTTCCTTCCTCTCATCATGTGGAGGGCCAAGGATCTTAAATCAAATCTCCATCTGAAATACTACCTACAACGAGAAGTCCTGGCATTTTCTGCTGTGGGGGATACACGGAGAGAGAAATACCCAAGAACAAAAAGCAGATGAAGGGAGTCAGAGGAAGTGGTGAGAGGACAGATGAGAAGACATTCATTCTCCTATGAGAACCAGGATAGAGCAGAGCTCCCCACCCTCCCACAGAGCCAGCAGAAAGCACTGTGCCTGGGATGCACAGCCAGGGTAGGAAGATCCAGACCTGGGCACTGGACACATGGCTGCTCCTCTTCCCAGGTCTGAGCCTCTCCAGAACTCCCAAGGCTTTATCCTGTCCCAACTACTCCAGATGTACTTTGTTCCCTCAGCTTTAGTCCAACAACAAATACTGAGCACACAAACAGCAGTGAAGTGCTGTCTCTCCAGTAACAGCTTGATGGGAAACAGCCACCAAGATCCAGCATCACCAGCTACTTCATCAGGATTTCTTCCTTTTGAGCATTAAGAATGTTACCAAAGAGGAAAACAGCATCCTTCCTACCTCTCCAGGAACCTCAGGCACTCCTCCAGGCACTCGGCTTCCACCTTCTCACTCAGGCTCTCGCTGACTTGCCTGGCAGCTTCTGTCTTCTCTGTTAGTATCTGTGGATTTCAATGTGTGAGAGGAGAACTGGCCAAAGCCATTTGTTCCCTATGCAGTGAACAGGAATACATTCCACTGCTCACCCTGCAGCAAATCCTTCTGCCCTCTCAGCACCAACTTCTGCTTCAGTTTTGAGAGTCTTGTAGAAATAAATGTATTTTTAATCAGCCTGATTGTAATGCTGAATGTAGTGACCCTACACCTTTGTTACCACTGTTTTTGATGTGGTCAGCAGGCCTGTGATAGGGTAAAAGCCTCTCTTTGCAGATGTTCTCTGCTGTCCAGCCTGGCAGCTCAGGTCATACATAGACCTGCCATCTGCAGGAGCACCTGTGCTTCTACCTGACTCACTCTCGCAGATAAATTTGGGTGCACCCACTAAAAAGAAGATAATGCAGACCTGACTGTGTGCCCAGCACCTCTGCCAGGGTCTCTACGTGGGATGCCTGAAGAAGACAGGTGTCACCTTCCCAGCCACCCCCACTCACACCTGACACAGCTCTGTGTGTTAAACCCTACAGCACATGTCCTGCCCCACCGGGCCCAGCTGGGTGGCCCAGGTGTTTGCAGGAGGTGGGCTGTGCCAGACAGCTCAAAATTCACCCCATATCGGGCAGGCTTGAGCAGGTGGCAACTTAATGCTGGCCATTAGTTGCTCCGTGGAAACAAAAGCTTGCAAGGGGAGGAGAGCCAGATGGACCCATATGCTGTGCCCTCACCGTGCTCATCAGCCAGAGACAAAGGGTGACTCACATTATGAATGGGTTTTTCCACTGCTCTGTGACAGACGTAAAAGCTCACCCAAAGGGACAGGACAAAATATGCCACCCCAAAGTGTCAGAAAACCACAGGTAATGAGTTTCCATGACACCTTGTTCATTTTCTATCTGAGGTTTAAGTGTAAACCTGAGAAAATTGAGAAGGTGGTAATTTCATAAGGCTTTCCTATTAATCCAGGCTTTTCTATCACCCACCCCAGAGCATTCAAACCTGTCAGTTGCATACACAACAGAGCAAATCCACTCATGCTGAAGCATGGCCAGATGTTACAGATATGAGGACTATGGGATTCAAACCATGCTTTGTTCTAGTTCCTGTTAGAAAACTTTCCACTGTGAGCCAGGAGCAGAAAAAAAACATCTTGGTAGCTAAAAGTCACCCTAGCACAGGTACACTGGGCACATCACTGCTCCATTGCTCCAGCAGGTACAGGGCAAGGCAAAGAGGAAACAGTCCGTGTTGTGAGCTCTGCATTTGGTGCCAGTGTCTGAGTCTGAGATGGGCCAGAAAAGCCAGTGTTTGCCAGCTGAAGCTGTATCCTCACAAGGAAAACCAGTTGCTATTCATCTGCAATGTTTCCAATGCTTGAGATTGTCTGCCATCCCAAAAGACCATGGAGCTACTTCCCTCCCTCATGACCTGAAATGGGACTGCCACTGGGGTGGTGGAAGCAGAGAAGAAAGATACAGTCATGACAGCCCACAACTTGTCCCTGATCTCCAGCCTCACTTGAGCCCACATGTAAACTCCAGGATTTATTTTAATCCTTCTGCAGGTCTTGATCCAAACACCCTCTGCCCACAGTACATGCTGCTCACAAATCAGCAGGGTGTGCTCCTGCAATGCCCTTGGACCACTCACCTTTGCTGGGCTCTGCAGAATCCCCCACACAGCCTGACCCACCAGGGCAGCAGTCTCAGCAGGGGCAAGGAGGGAACAGCCTGCCTGCATTTTGCACTGCCAGACATGGGGCCCTGCCACGGCTCAGCAGCTCTCCCTGCTTCTGTAAAACTGCAGAGCTCACACAGAGCAGACTGTGTAACATACACCACGACTTTCCAAAAGATTACATAAAGATCTAGGAGCAAGTATGAAAATGCAGCTTCAGCTTGAATCAGCTCAGGCTTATCCTTAGTTTAGTAAGGGTTTTTTTTCTTTATATATGCCCAGGACAAAAGCAGGTTTGGGAGCAAATAGACATAGCTTAAGTATGGCAACCAGCTTGCAGGCTTTTAACACATTGAGCCTAGACTGAGACATGCAAAACTGGGTCTTGCCAAATACCCACATACTTGTGTGCAAAAACACGACTGCCCCAAAATACAGATTTTCAGTTCCCCCCAGTTTACCTCAATGACTGCAGCGTCTGCACAAGGGGGTTTCCTGATATCAAAGGCTTCTTTCAATGCTTTCCCTACTTCCGTCTAAATGATAAAAGAAAATTTAAAAGTACAGTTAAGATACAATGGCATTCATAATGAGTTAGGTTTCCCAGCCTTTCATTATCCATTTGGACTAGGTGAATTCCTACCTCCATTTCTTTGGCTGTCCCATTTAACCCAAAGCCTGGCTATTTTCCAGCTGACCTAATAACATTGTTCTGTTTTGTTCTACATTGTTTGTTTGAGTTTAGATGATTTGCAGCTTTCTTTCATCCCAAAGTCAGCTTGGGTTATCTACAGTCTTCCCTAGTTAGCTTAGCTCAAATGGAGGCGCCCATACAGCAAAACAATGCTTAGACACATCTCCATGCTGCCAGCACTGTAGCTGAGATTTTCCACCCTTCCTCTCTCCAACCAGCACCCACAGAAACCAGCCAGCATTAATTAAAACCATTCCCTTGCTTGAGCCAGGGACTTGTGAGTGCAAAGAGGATCTGGATTAGTGTTTAGAGCTACTGTCATGGTGAGATGGGCCCCATGAGGCTGCACAATGGGAAATTTCCCAAGACTTGGCTGGCTTATGCTAGTTTGAATGGCTGTAAAAACAAAACTAGCACTGCAGAGAAAGGGCTCGTTGCTTAAAACATGATCTGACCTTTATGGAAGCTTTAAACTTTAAAGTCTGGCTTGCTTATTTATTCTTTCATTTCTGAATCTTCCTCCAAGGAATGTAAAGTCTGATCTCCCATTTTGGTCATTGCTCTTTTCTGGCTGATGAATTAGGAAATTTGTGGCTGTCAGCTGAAGAATTTCATCAAAAGTATATTTAAAACAACTGCTCTCCCATATTCACTGAAAAGTGTTAACCAAAAACAAATAAGCAGTTGTAAACAACCTAGAAAAAATTCTTTCCTCACAAGAGCCATCACCTGACTGTGAGCAAATGTGTGAACACTATGTGCTGAGACAGCATATCCCAGCAGAGCTGCACAAACACTTCAAGCCTGCCCCCTACAATGGGACAAAGCATAGCTTAGTGAGGAACTGGAAAGCAATTAATAACTTGTTGAGGACAGCACTTAGTTGTTTTGGATCAGATGATGTGTCTGAATTAGAAACTGCTTTCTTGTCTGTAGCTCTTGTATTGATACCAGCACGTCATGCACCAAAGCTCCAGTGTGGAAAGGGCCAAAACTTCTGCTGTAATAAACAGATCCAGTTTACTTATTGTATTTTCCTGTCTGACCAAAATGTTGCAAGGCTTCAGATCCGTGGATGGTCAGTACACCTGTGCTGACTGCAGAACACGAACTTCTCAGTCCTCATGTTTCCATTTGAAAAAATAGAGGGGGAGTGGGGAAAAGACACAGCCCCAAGTAATCCTTTACAGGTCAGGGTCAATGAGTATGAGAATGAGCCCTGGAATCATGATGAAAGGTCTGCCTTGCACTCTTGTCAAATTCCCCAAGGCAGAGGTGACAGACTGGCAACCCAATTGGTGGCATAAGCATTTTCAGTTCACCAACTTTGTAACCTCAAAGGCACAAAGCTCCCTCGACCCAGATGTATCCAGACTGAGGAGAATACTGCCTGCATGCAGAGCTGACCAAGTTCCCCACATTGGAGTTTTGAAGTGGTTTTGAACTCCATGTGGCATCTGGGCTCTCAGCACCTTCAGATATGCTACAGTTCTCACCACTCGTTTCTGTTTAAAGTGCTTTTAGTTTGCACAGATATCAGGCTGCCACACTCAACGATAAGCCAAGTGTTCATAAGCAAAGCAGACCATGGCTTATTCTGGTCAGGATCTTTGCATTCTGAAAAATTTAGTCATCCATTGAAGTGGCAAAACACACACCATGTGATTTAGTCACAATAATATATGACCATTGTTAAGAGATAACAGCAGGATATTTGCTCAGTAACAATTTCCTGTATATTAGCATAATGAAGGGCTGAATTAACCTAGAAGCAGAAATAGAGGGATAAAGCAGGTTTCATAAGCTGTGTCACTGAGCTGAAGAGACATCCATAATTTTTCCGTATGGAGTCAGCTTATGTCCACTTAAGCTCATTAGCTTGAATCTCGAGCTGTTCCCAAGCTGGCCAGGTTTGAAGCAAGCTGGAGCAATGCTGTGCTACACTGTCCAGCACTTCCAGCTCTGCTCTTTCTGTACAACTCAGCACCACATAGAGCTGTGATGCTTCAGGATCCAAGGTGGCATGAAAACTCAGGGCAGCACGGCACAAAAGCTCATAAGCACTGCCAGATTGATGTGAGCCTGCTCAGCACATGGTATATCAGGAAAACAAAAAGCCCACGGTTAAGCAAAAGCATTCTTCAGCTATTACATTAGAGGCAACTAAAAAAAAAAGTTTCATTTCCCATCAGTGTTAGTCAGCATCTTTGAGGGCTTGTCAATGACTCAGTGACTGGCTCTAGGATAATCTCAGTGGCACTACCCTGAGTTAAGTCACTTCCTTCACTGAAACAACTGCAAAAAAAGAAGCTTAAGGACACATAGTCTTCCCCAGTGTAATGATTAAAAACAGCCCCTAAAGATACTTAAACACTGAAACCAGTAGGCTTTAAGCATATTGTCACCAGCTGGCATTTCTACTCCCATGTTTGTGACTACCTTTTTGTTCTCTTTCAAGGAATACCTCCTGAGGAAAGCCCCTGCAATTTAGAGTACTTTCCCTGGGATGATTCAGCAGTTTGCCACGGAATTTCCCCTCCTCTGCTCCCCAGGGGCTGGTGGAAATGGAAAGTAAGAGAGCTGAGTGTGGTAACTCCTGCTGTTACATTTCATCTTTAGCTGAATAAAAGAGACCCTGCCGAGGTTTCCAAATAACGTGGTTTCCTCTGGAACTCCCTGTAGCTACAGCTACATCTTCCTTCATTTGTATTCCACATGTCTCAACAGAATTCTTCAAAGGGGAAGCTTTGCTCAGAAGAGGTGCTGCAGGGCTGGGGTCACCTGTGGGATCACAAGGCGGGATTCTCTGTGGAGGGCTGCGGGGTGGGCACCAGCTGCACATTTTCCTGCGCTAAGCTCTGGAAACAATCTTTGCTCTAAATCAGCAGTGTCAGTCCAATAGGCTGAAGAGGACTGTGAGGGGTCCACACACAAACTTAGCAGCCTCAATATCCTGTACAGCTGAGGCAAAGGGGCTATAAAAAAAACCCAACTGTTGCATAAGATGGGATCATTAACAGATGGAGAGATGAACAACATTTTGAAATGCCCTTCAATAAGGAAGTGGATTTCACCCATAGTCTCCCTTTCCTCCAGATAAATGGGCTTCTGAGCAGAGCAGATTGCATCTCTGAATATACAGCAGTGGGATGAAGAGAGATTTGCAAATGTCCCAGCATTTCCTTGCTAAGGAGCAAGGACAGGGCAGCCTCCCTTTGGCAGTAGACAATCATGGATCTTCACACCTGGGCTCTGCAATGAAACTCGGTCAAGATGGAGATCTTGGGACCCACACAATCCTGAGCAGAGCTGGCTATTTAAAAAGGCCACCCCTTAATTTAACACCATGGGAATAAAACCAGCAGATTGGGGTAAAACTCCTGAGTTCTTACCCGTGCGATTGCAAGCAACTTTTCCTCAGTCTTCAAAAGAATCCACACGAAGCACTGTGCACCAAGGGAAAGGCTGTGCTGGGGGATGTGCCCAGGTCTCACACATGCCTGGCTGCCACTGTGTACAGAAACAAGAGCTCAGCCACAGGGGCAACTTTCCGTGGGTCCACAGCATTGCTGGCCTGGCACCCCCCGCTTGGCACCACAGCCTCACACTAAGCAAACAGGGTGCCCTGCAAGAACCCAGCAGTGCATGCCATGCTTGGGCAGCCACAGCACAGCAGATGATCTTTACAATGGTCTTTTACCAGCTTTTCTTTTGTGCTATTTCTTTTCCTTCTTCCTACACTTGCTGCCCAAGTTAAGGTTTTTGCTTGCTGTTCCCCTCTTCCCTTCCCTCACTGCTGCTGCTCAATTCCTTCTTAAGCTTAAGGAGTGTCTTCCAAGCACACTTGCATGAATGCACAATTTTGCAAGTGTCACATATTCTTTCTGAATGGAATAAGAAGCAGCTATATACACCAAGACAACTGCATCTATGCATGAGCTTTCATAGAGGTTGTAACTGTATTTAGAGAGGAAAAATCAAATGCTGAAGTATGGCATCTCTGCTCTTTTCATTTCCACTTTTTTCACTACTGTCTGACTAATGTAGTCACTGGTCTTGTTTGTTTGTTTTTCTTCAAGGAATTCTACATTTTTATAATACATTTTTTCCATATTTGACTTTTCTTTATATAATTAAATTACATAATGTTTCACCTCCAATGTTATTAAAGTTTTCAGTATTTCATCAACCCATTACTCCAAGGTTTTTCCATTTCAAAAGCAGCAGTAAAAGGGAAATCTCCTGACTACATCTGCCACGTGCCCAATGACGGCCAGTGTGTACCTACCACACTGCTTCCCTCCTTCAGGAGCTGGCTGGGGAAAGAGCCCACCTGATGAACTGCTAATGAGCTAATCAAAGATTTATAAGTGTAATTAATACAAGGAATAGAGAAGCTGTAGGCTTGGATGAAAGCAATCGAATAATCCAAAAAGGCTGAGAACTATTAGGGCATAAATAGATTGGAGCTGCCAAGTAGCAATTAAATCAGGGACACAGAGAATCAAATGCCTCATCCATAAGAAAAAAAGAAATCATAAGAAAGTTCCATGCTTTGATGACACACATAGGCTTTGAATTCACATTGGGTCAAAGGGTCCCAGATGTGCCACTCTTTGGAGGGAAAGCCATTTCTGTTTTCCCCAAACTTGGGCAGGAATTTAATGATCTGTTACATATTTTTCCTGTGATCTGAACACTAATGAAGAAAATACAGAAACAACTGGGAAAACTACAAGCCAGATAAAGCAGCGGGAGAACCAAGGGCAGGACAAGAGAAATCCATAGAGCATCATGCTGACACAAAGGCCAGGGAAAATTACTCTCAGGTCATTGGAGTATTATGGACCTTGTTAAAAAAAGACTTGATGTGAGGAAAGAAATTGATCAATAAAGCAGAAAACTATGCATGTCCAACAGGAGTCCAGCAGAAAAATACTTGCCCACATAAGGTAAACCTCTGAATCTGATGTTAAGGATTTAGAAAGAGGCAGTAGTGTAATGAAAAACGGGTCTGGGTCTGAAAGTACAGAAGATAAAAGAGGCAGTGGGCAAACCTAAACTCAGCAAAATACCGATCATCATTGTGCCATCAGGATCAGGGACCATTCTCAGAAACAAAAAATAAAGATAGCAAAAAAATATAGGGAAAGTATCCCTCAGACATACCTTTTGTACATTTTAATGCTCCATTCATAAATTAAAAGAATTTGGCTGAAGCTAAAACAGTGACTGTCAGTAAGTGTGGCAAGGTGAGAACATAGAGAAGCGTGACAGCAGCGGGCATAGGTGACGAGCAGTCCTGCTTCCTTGAAGACATTGCTTCTGTTCTCCAGGCTGGGGAGAAATGTTGTTTCCAGGTGACTGAGGTGCTGTTTTAGTGCAGTCTCATCTGTGTTAGTAGAGGAAGCAAACAGGGGAATCTGGGCAGTCATGCACTGCGTTAGCTTTTCCTCCAGATCTTTTCTCCAGAAGTTCGGGCTCCAGGTGGAAACAGACTCCGTCTCTAGGCCATTGCCAAGCCACTCTGCTTCCTTCTGCCTCTCCCACTTCAGTGATTCCCCCACTGACTGCAATGGCTCCAGGAGCATCCTATCACTTCCACTGAGTGCTTCTCCCACTACAGTCCACATTCGTTCAGCCAGCAGTGCATAAAGGGATTCAGACTTTCCCAAACCATCATTTCCAGAATGCTCCAGATTATGAATTTGATCACAAGCTTCCAAAAACTTTCCTTGTTCAATGAATCTGCAGATGGTTTCCTCTGTAACAGAATAAGAACACAACTTGCTGTTTTTTCACTATTCTATAGGAGCATGACTTTAATATCCAAGTTATTAAGTATCTAGTTTATATGTATTCCAGAAATTCCTCAGGATCTACTCAAGATCAGCCCACTTAAGGTCTAGCACTAGCTTCTCTCAGTTTCCTCAGGGCAAGCACTTCTTTGTTTCTAAATTTCCTTCATCCTTTCTCCTCCAGGTTAACCAAGCCTGCAGATTAGTCTGCAGCTTTCTGTCATCATTCCAGAGACCACCTCATGTGAGTAATGAAGGTTTATTAATTACAATCTTTCCTTAAGAACTGTACCCTCTGTCTAGAAGAAAAGCATTTAAAAAAGGACAGCTTCTGAACAAGCAACAGCTAAAAGTCAAGCTTGGAAGGAATTCTCTGCCTCCTCTACAGAAACCCTGGCAGGACCATAGTGCTGCAAGCTTAGTTGGAAGGAAGATTTTCAGTCCTGTTTGTTTCCAGTGTATCTTATCTAGCACATCCAGCCAACCAACAGGAGTTAAATGTACTCTCACAACAGATGCACAGAGCTGCAGGGCTTTTCCCATGTGTTTTATAGATTACAAGGTTGAGCAATGAATGGTTAAGGTTTGTCCAAAGGTATCTGGAGCAGAGCCCAGAGGACAAATCGAACTTGATGAGAATGCAGGGAAAGTTAAGTGAAGCCAGAAGCAGTGGGGCTTCAATAATTCAGGATACAATTTTGGAAGCAGAATGAAGAATAAAAAGAGTATGAACTTCCACCATGTTTTGCCTATATCCTTCCTACCTTTCCTCTATGAAAACATCTCATATGTGAAGTAAGAATTAAATCGAATAGGACAGGAAGGAGAAACATGACACGAAATGGAAAAGGGTTGATACAAGGATGTTCAGCAAAGCAATTGGCAAGTTATTCAGGCGAGGTCTACAAGCTGCACCCATCCTGCCTCAATACATGCAACACATGGGAAATGTTTAATTGGCACAACCAGGCTGTGTGCAACCCACGTCCCCCTCCCATCTGTGGAGGATGGAGTCACAAGGATGGGGTGTCAGTCACACGTACATCGTCTTTCTCACAAGACACATCAGGAGTGTTTGCAGAGATAAAAATAAGAACAGTAAAGAGAAACATTCGTAAGGCAAATAAAAAGTGAAATACAGAACTGTCCAGGGTGGCAAGTGCAGGGTTCAGAAGGGACAAGAATTCAGGTAGAGGATGGGGAGGAGGAGAGTGGAAAGCATCTGATCCAGCAGCTAATGAAAAACAAGAGCCTGCGGGATGGGAGGGGCAGAGAAGATCCAGGCCTGGACCCAGAGATAATTTCAAGGTTACCTGCAGGCATCCCTTTCTCCACTCCTTTCCTACTGATTGGCCTCTTCAGCAAATTCCCTGCCACATCCTCAGCACCAGCCTTCTCCACTGTCTCCTTCCCACCAACCACAGTCTTCAGCAATTTGCCTGCCAAAGTTTTCAATTTCCCTTTCCTCTTCACCTCCTGCTTCTTTCTCTCCTCATGTGTGGCCTTTGGCAATATTCTTGCATTTTCCCCAGTCATTTTCTCTCTCTTCTTGTTTCCTTGTCCCACAAAGGCTGCCCAGGAATGCTTTGTCTTCCTCATGATCCAAGCAGACTCAGGTGCTTTCTGTCCAACTGGGAATACTGTCAGAACAAAACATGAGAAATATTTCTATGCAAAGTAATCCTAATGTCTGTCTCCCAGAGAAGTTCTCTCTTCTTCCAATTTTTTTTTCTGTGCAGCTACAGGCTTCAGCTGAAAGAGTCTAACCTGGTTCTTGTCTGTGCCAAGTGAGGACACTTTTATAGGCTTCCAGCCCTCTTATGTAATCCTTCCCTCTTCTGGGTAAATAATGTCAAAAACCTCATACATAATCTAACCACAACCACTGGGGGAAAGCCAGGAGCATTTTGGGCATTTTCTAAATCATTAAAATATCCTTGTGCTGCCAGTTATTTTGATGACAGTCTTATCAGTTTAAGGGAGTTGATTAGTAACAATTTCTATGAAGCACATGTCCTTTTCCACCCACCCCACATGCCCAGGCTGCACCTGAGTTTCTCTTTGGCAGGGAAATCACATTGGATTTGGAGCCAAGTTTTCCCTCACCTCCCAGCAAGCCTAGTGCTAGCCACCAGGGGTGTAATGGCCCAGAGAATGGGTGTTGGTTTCCATGTTTTAATAACACCACCCAGAGGAGATAAGAGTGATCTCAGCCTTCTGGAATGTGCAATATTCCAGCAACTATTATGTATTATTTTAAATTTATGTGCACACACATGGATATAAATGGCATAACATTGCAACAATCCACCATATGTGTGTGTGTGTGTGTGTGTGTGTGTGTGTGTGGACACATATGCATACACATGGATCAGTTCACCAGCCAATATCTGATACTGAAAAAAAAGAAGGTGTATGTTTGTATTGGGCTGCTTAAAGTTCTGACCATATACCACAGAAAAAAATTCCTCCACAGAAAGTATCCTTTAAATCCAGGATCTTGCATTTAAAACAGTTTTTTTTCTTAAATCCCTACACTGCTGTGAGAACTTGGAGAGGACTTGAAATGCTGTCTTTACCACACCCTTCTTGCAAGAGAATTACAAACTGGGTTTAATTCTCCATTCTATTATTATGAAGATTAAATCAAAAATCTGAGGATTTTCGTCAGCTGAGGACAGTTTGTATTAATCATTACAAGCTGTATTGATTCAAAACCGTGCACTATGCAACAATTATTTCAGGGGTATGAATTTAAGGGGTGATTTTTCCACTCACTATCTAGATTGTTTCAAATATGTTAATTCATATTTCTGGGTTTAATGCCTGCAGTTTCTTCCAAGATTTTCTACATTTTCATGATAGTAAAATTCCACTAATTTCCTACTTGGAAACCAAGTAAATGTTCTGTTGTTCTGGCTCTTTTATAGGTGCTTAATTCCACCAGCATGTTATCACAAAGCCGTTTGATTCATTAGTAACAATAGGGAGGAAGAAATAAACACATTTCATTTGGAAAGAGAAACAGAAATTCCAGCAGTGGTCACACATTTGAGCTGCTGCCAGTAGGAAATACTGAGGTTGCAAAACACAGTGTTTTCCCAGCTTGTGAATAAAGTTGAGAATTGAGAGGCTTTATACACATTCCATTTTGACCTTAATTATTAATCAGCTGAAGTTAAAATGTTTCATTTGGAATGTTATAGCTGCACAGTATATGAATACAAGATGGAGTAAGAGGGTCAGTACTGAGAGAAGCATTCCAGGCTTGCTGAAACCGTTCAGCAATATTTTCCCATGAAAATTCCAACACAATATGTTTATGTTTCACTTCATCAGCATTTTCCCAACAAGCCTGTCTCTAACAAAAACCATTTCCCTAGACTTCTCCGTGGAAGAAAATCAGATGTCAAAGTGCCAGTCCTGAAGGCAAGACTCTCTGCAGTGCACAGATTTTGAGCACACTTACAATTGCAGATCGTGCCCTAAACTGCGGCAGCATGATGTGTGGGAATTGCTGCGTTTTCCCAGAAAGCTTCTTTCAAGGGAATACAATACAAGCCTGTGTAAAGCGGGGAGTGATGGCAGAGATGGACTGACATCCTGAGGCTAGGACCAACTCTTACCCCATGGACCACTCGACCCACTCAATCAAGGGAATGTCAGACACTCCCCAAGTTGAGAGTGCCCTCAGGGCACAGTCCACCCCAGCACTGCAGCACCAACAGCCCACATGGCTCCTCTGTCCTGCCTCCCCCTGGCTCACAAACCAGGGCAACCAGAGGCAGAGCAGGCCATGCCCTCTGGCAGCAGGCAGCCAGGAACAGCCTGTGAAGGGACAGCACGATGGGGATGGTCAGTCTGATCAAGGGTGCTGAGCCCAGTGCAGCAGGAAGTGATGCCCCAGCAATCCACCCACTCTGCACCTTCTGCCCACAATTGCTTTGGAATGAAGGATGTTGTCTCTAAGGAGAATACACTCTTGCAGGAGGGGACATGCCACAAAGGAGCTGCCCAGAGGCCAACAGCCGCCTGTTTTCCTGGGTCTGTGTGTCTTAACAGCACATTCAGGGTGTACAGGTCTCTCCCCTCTGTCTCTAATGCTATGTTACTGCTCAGACTAAATTTCTGCAGTTGAAACATGGTGATGATTTGAGTCTCTAAGAACATCATGTACCACAGTGCTCCCATGGATGGTGTTATGCCAAGACAGGCAAAGCTCACAGGGAAGCTACACCTTAACATAAAAGTGTTGAGACCAAACTAGAACAGAGGTTTTTCACTAAGAGTCTAAATAATGCAAAGGGCATTGTTTGCTGCCCAAAACCATTGTTTTGGACAGAGGAACTGGGGCACAGCCACGTTTTGTCTGCTCCTTCCATGGGCTCCTGGGGTGCTCATCCAAGGGGAGTGATTCCAAGGAAAGAAGGGCAATAGGAAACCACAAGGGAACAGGACCAAGAACAAGGACAGTTCTGCTTCTGAACAAACTCCTTTGTCAGGTGTAGCAAATTACTTTCTTCTTCCTCCAAAGCCACTTCTTGGAAGCCAGCCCTCTCCTTCTTCCTGGTGTTTCAATGCCTCCATTTATCCACAGTGGGATGTTCTCTAGCAGGGTCATTTACCCTGCCATGACCCTTGCTATGTTTACTGTGAAAGAGAAGCAATTTGTCTCCTAGGAACATCCCCAGCATTCAGGACTTTCCCTCATTTCCTGGAGCTCCTGAAAAAGTCCACAGCCTCCCCACATCACTGAGACTCTGTCTTCCTATCTTGGAAAAACTGTAACTCCTTTGTCCTTGGGATTTTCCATTAAACAAGTGAGTATCTTGGATAAATTTTTACATTGTTGCTCTGTTGACTTAACTCTTTATCTTGCTATTTCCCAATTCTTCTGCCTATATAGATAAATTCTCTTCATAACAAGCGGATTGTGTGCCTGACTTGAACAAAAGCTGTTTCGTCTTGATGCTAATGGGATGAAGTCAGACTATTAGCACCACAAATTAAATTACTTTGTAAGAGTCCAATTACATTAATATTCCGATTCCAGCAACGCAGTGATGCCCCTGCTTGCTTTGCAGGGACACTACATGAACACAGTCAGACATAGACAATGGAAACTTCGTGTTCAGTAGCATCTGTTATATGAAATACACTTGGTCCTAACAGGCAGGTGGATTGCCGTATCTGGAGAGAGGTTTTTCACCTCCTTCTTTTGTTTCCAGAACATGCTGGTACTTTCCACTACTTTGAACCAAAGGCATGAAACATGGAAGAAAGGAATATTAATTATGATGATAAAACATGCAGGGTATGGCACAGAAAGATGTTGGCTTCCTAGGATATAAATCCATGCAAAACCACTCTGTGAAGCTACGCTGCAGTCTGACAATATGTTCCTCTGCTCACACACAGCACCTTTGATTTCATCAGCAATCAAAGAAAAGCAAGTCTCTATTCCAAGCAAGGTAGGGTTTTTTTGGAGAGAGACAAAACAAACAAACAAAGAAACAAAACAAAAACACCTTCTCCTCACATTTGACATTGCCGCTGGCATTGCCATCACAGTCATATGCAAGAGGTGACTTTGTGTATTGTGCAGTCAGATGTTTATCATCCTGTGGAAAGCATACATTAATTCTTATTTCAAAAGGATAACTCCATTTCCTAAGGAAACAAGACAACATAGCCAGAGGTTCTGTGTACTTCTGTGTTCATATGATCCCCTGCCCTAATGCACGAGAGTGGATTTTAAGTCAATTTTAACCAATTTTAAAGACAGTTTTAACCAAACTGACAGAAGGTGGCTCACCTTCAAAAGCCACTTCAAAACAGTATATCCTCACACACTTCATAAACATACACATCTGAGGAGAGGATAGACCTTCACTGCCCCTGCTAAAGGAAGAAAACACACTATGAACTCAGCCTTTATTTCACACCAGAGACTGCTGCCCAGCAGCTCAGCCTGCAGGTACACAAACACAGTTTCCTTGCCTCTGGTGCTCACCAAATCCTCCCTACTCTCCAGATAACCTGTGTGTGTGTGCAAGAGCAAATAACGCAGCACAAATATTTAATACAGGCAGCCTCTCCTATAGCAACAAATAAAGGTGCTTTCCTACGGTGCCTCCCAGCCCCAGACTGCAACCTCTCACTGCCTGAGAACTGTACTACCCTGAACATGCACAAGTTTTGGAGCAAATGGGAAAGAAGAAAGCTTCTTCCTTTCTCTTGCTGAGTGTGTTTGCTTGAGTAGCTTTTCTCTGCTCATCGACTGATTTTTATCCCATTTTGAAAGAGTTAATCTGAGACTTCTGTCCTTCTCTGGATTTCTCTGAAACGGAAGGAATTTGGTTTATGAGGAGAGGACAGGCAGATGGATTGAGAGAGGCACTACATGGTCCCAGCACCTTCAGCAACTACACTAAAGTCCTAAGGACAAGTTCCCCAAAGATTTGGATACTGCTCCTTCCCCTGCCCTGAACACTGAAACAAAACATTGGATGTGATATACAATTTGCACTGCCTCTATTTTCCCTGTGACTGTGAGGACCCCATTTTGAACTGACCTCAATTTTCACTTAATTAGTAACCTACTTTGCTGTTCCTTGAGAACATTTTTAGCTCATTCCTGGGGATTTTGCCTAATTCTGTTTTTTCTTTTCAGAATGAAACAAACATTTCTTTAAGGAAGACGCTTCCTCTTTTGACAAAAATGGCAGTAGTAGTA